CTAGAAAGCCTGGTCTAATTCATCTTGCCATTTAAGCAGATTAATTTTAAATTATACTTATTTAATGTAACTTAGCTTTAAGCAAATAACTTAAGTTATAGGAACGAATTATGTAATAATAAAATTAAATTGGGCATCCTGTAACCTCACTCACACGACGAAACACAACGCAAGCGTTGTTTCACGTCGGTTTTCTGTGAGGCCGTGGTATCACTCCGGTCGAGCTGAGATCCGAGAAGCATTGCTCTCCCACACTTGAAATTATAATAATACTAGCGACCCGCGATCCGCGCTATTAAAAAAAACCCCATAGCAGCGCCATCTATTGATTACTTACTCAACCCAATCGAAAGGTATCGACATCTGTTAGAATCATTTGGAGTTAACAGATAATTGTGACTGTCAAATAATAACAGACAAATAATTAGCAATAAATTAAAATTGCGACTATAATTTGAGATAAATACATAATTCGTTTTTAAACCCGTAGTTTGAGCCTCATATCTTTCTTTTTAGATTATTTGTAATATATTATTACTTGTAGTACCTAATTAAAACATTAATTATTTATAATTATTTTGCTGAATCAGCTTGTAAAGTAATTTTAAGTATTATAGATATTTGTTAGCGTGCTAGTTCCGAGAACCGAGAATCACCGACAGACGATGGTAGAAAATAAGTATTATTTTCATAAAAGTAAGGTACTAAATGTTTGATTTATGTAATTTATGTTACACTAGCTTTCACCCGCGGCTTCGCTCGCGTCACAAAAGGATAAAAGTAGCCTATGTGACATATACCAATACACACAGCGCCATCTATACCAATTCTTTTGTTTTCCCTCGGGAAAATCAAAATTTTCCGGGATAAAAAGTACCCTATTATTTAATCCGGACTTCTAACTTTACGTCTACAAAAACTCAAAGCAATCGGTTTAGAAGTTACGGCGTGAAAGCGGAACAAACAAAATCACTTTCCTATTTATAATAGTAAGGATACATACCTACATAACTTCACGCCTGTCTCCCATGGCGGTAGGCAGAGACTAGGAAACGCCAATAACTACGATTCCTACATAACTCTTTCGCTTCATCAACAGTCATCAATCTTTTCATGCATGCTCGTCGGTTAAGGGTACTGTTAATTTGGCCTTTCTTTAATACATCGCCAATCTGGCGTAATAAATCACTATATGTCCGTCTAGGGCGCCCTCTACACACGGCCCCATGAACGATTAAAATTGTAAAAAACAATTTCTTTTTGTTATCGTTTTGGGAGCGTTCCGTTTATGGATGTAACATAACTGGGCATATATAGTTGTTACATTATTATATAACAACTGATTACAGATCCCTTTGAGTTATTAATAGTGTGATCTTGAATCATATTTGGTCTAAATTCTCACCAAAAATATTTGTTTGCATCCGAGATCGAACCTGCTGTAATGCAAGTCAATTGACCTTATATAATGATAACTTTTGGCGCAAATATCAACTTACTTTTGGTGATTTATCATAAGTTTTTTAAGGACCTAATAAAATATATATTGTTTCAAGTATTAATTCATTGTCTCATTGTGTAAAAAAATCCCAACGTGTTTTTTAAATGTAACTAACACGCTAACACATGCATTAAATTAGTTATAAGATAAAAACATGTAATTTAAAGCATTCCCTATTTATTTACTACCGTAAAGGTAGGAATTTTATAAAATGGTAACACTTATCAACGCATTTACGACCTAATTATTATCATCAGTATTAAAATAACAAAATAATGTTAGAATTAGAGAATCTACCATTAAGCTAGACAAACACTGCCATTATGAAAGATGCCATATCAATGAAATCTGAAAGTTGCTATGTAGAAAAATGAAATTTCTACCAAAATGGCTTCTTGGTAGATTTCTCGTAGGCTAAGGTTAATGTACCTATTAAAATGTGTTGCTTAATGAGACGCTAGAGGGCGTTGTATGCGCTTTTTATTAAAAACTAAGAAATATTGTCTATACACTTTATAAGTTATATGTCGTAATTAAAAGATGTTAGTAATAATTTGTGATTGTTTCATTTAAAATTGACTTCATACACGCTATCCCGTTTTTCCCCGTTTCCATAAAGAATCCTTGGATAAAAAGTATCCTACGTCCGTCTCCTGGGTCTAAGCCGTGCTAGAGTTATAAATAGTGTAAAGCTGCGTCTACGCCAGGGGCGTAGCTAGCGCCGTATCTGCCGTATCAATAATATGGAGCCCCCAGACTACCGGGGCCCCCAATGTTTGTAAGAAAAAATATAAAAACTTCACAATTTATATTTTATTTCAGTAATTACAATGCATGCGTTGCATTCAAAGCTTGGCAGAAACCATGGAATCTTTGGAAAAACCCAAAAGTACTTAATCATTGTCCGATAATTTGGGAAGAGAGAGTTAATTACCTGGACAACTTTCCGGTTTTAATACAAATTATTGATAGGTATTTTATGTAAAACCTCTCTGACTCGTCGTCTCACTCGGCCGAGTGGTCGCTAGTGCGACTGCCGGGCAAGGGGTCTCGGGTTCGATACCCGGGCCAGGCAAAGTATTACTGGGTTTTTATAAATATTCTCAGTAGTAGCACGAAGTCTGGAATTGTGCCCGGTATATGACAAAAGACTCACCCCCTATTACATGGGACTCATAACATAAATAGTGAAAAGTGGGTGTTACATTGTACAGTGGCATAATGTGCACCTGTGCCTATCCCTTCGGGGATAAAAGGCGTGATGTTATGGAGAATGAATGAAGTAATTTTTACCTTTCATAAGGGGCCCCAACCAAATTTTTATACGGGGCCCGGCCAAGATACGCTACGGCACTGGTCCAAAGAGTATAATAAGTATAGAGGAACACTGGTCTACGGTAGGAGAGCCGAGCACGAGTGGACCACGAGCCGAACACAATTCGTCTAGTGTGGATAGACTTACAAGACTCGAATGAGCGCGCTGCGAGCAATTTGTTCGTGTTCGACTGCATTCCGCCTGTTGTAGGTTTTTTGACGAACAAATTTGTATTATTTTAACGTTGCCCCACACTAGGACTTTCTCCTGTGTCGTGGGTGCATTTACAAACATACAATATCACATACACATCACACCCAGACCCGGAACAACAATCTGTGGATCAGACAAGGAGTTGCTCCGTGCAGGAATCGGAACCGCGACACGATGCGCGGCAGCCGGTTGCTTAGCCACTGCACTGACCGTACCGTAAAACGGGGTTAATAGAAACAATCTAGACTTTCAAACAGACTTTAATAATATAAATTGTAAGTTTCGGGTAATAAAGCTGCATTCATTGTGGGAGTCTTATGTTATTTTACAATCTAATTACAAAAATGCCAAATTATTATCTACTTAGGAGAAAAAAACAAAAACCTGGTCAATTTCTATTTACCCGGAATACGGGGGCAATAGATAGACCGTGAAAAATGAATCTGCTTCGCGTTGGGAATGCTTACGCTTACTCACTGCGGACCTACGTACGAGGACAGTAATCGTTGTAAGTGCATTGTACGTTCACATTTGACGCCGCGAACAACGAAGTCAGGAATGTCTTCGCTTGTGCTTCACTCGTGCTCAGTTCGTCTAGTATTTTTTTTAAGGGTGGTAAATCGTCGAATGACTGCTCCCGCCTGGGTGAGGCGGGAGGGAGTGTCAGACTCTTACTGACTAAAAACCACCCCGTTCTTTCTCCTGCACGTCGAGGTGGAGCCCCGGTAACCCGTTAGGGTATAGACCCGCCTTAACTAACATGACATTTTTCTAATGTTTCAAAAACTTTTCATAAATTTTTCTGAAGCCACGGCCGAGATTATCATCATTACCAGCGGCTGACAGTCCACTGTTGCTCTATGAGTCTCCTCTACATAAGAGGGTTTGCCATAATCTCCGCAGGCAGGCGGGTTGGAGGTCGCAGTATAAAAGGTTCAGGTTTATCAGAGAGCGCTGCTGCACGGTCTCTGTCTAATGTGAAGTCCCTTAGTCGGATATATGGACCCGCGTGAAGAGTAGCGGTGGTAATAATGTATTCTAAATAAAACACAGATTTCACATTAAAAGTCTATTTAATTAAAGTTGAAAATACAACCATAATTCACATTAAAGTAGGTCGACAGAAAAATAATTATTTAAATTATAATTATTATAAAAATCATCATCAGCCACAAAGGCCTCCCCCCTAAAATCCTCCCCCTCAGAGCCGTATCCCTAAGGCAAACTAGACAACCTGCGGGCCGCCTGCAGCTGTAGCCAAATGCCATTTAGCGCTTGTCTACGTGTAGAATAGCAAAATCAAATTATATGGAACTGACGTAAATTTTGACACTTGTCAGTGTCATCCCCATTTTTTTATGGCATAAACCGGTAAACGAGCAGACGGATCACTTGATGGTAAGCAATCGGCGTCGTCCATGGACACCTGGAACACCAGAGGCGTTACAAGTGCGTTACCGGCCTTTTGGGGATTAGGAGTTTGAGGATCGTTGGGATTCAGGGATTGGGGAGATTGGGAAAGGGGAGGGTAATTGGGCCTCAGGTACCCTCACTTACACGACGAAACACAACGCAAGCGTTGCTTCACGTCGGTTTTCTGCTCGGCCGTGGTATCACTCCGATCGAGCCGGCCCATTCGTGCCGAAGCATGGCTTTCCCACACTTAATGATAGACTATACATTTAGTTTTCTACTCTCTTGGTAGACAAGCGCTAAAGTGGCGTTTGGCTAAAGGCATTGAATTATAGAGGGGCGCCGCGGTGCCCAACTACCCATAGAGCGACGGTGGCGCCAAGAAAATTAGGGTTCATACGCACTATGCAGTGACCCGCAATGCGGCGAACCGACCGACTGACCGCAGGGTAATAGTGCTTATGAACCCTTAGACGCGTCAATCAGGTGCTCGCCTAGGGTGCTCTCTACGTATAATCCGTCTGTTCCCACCTATAAATAAAAACTTAAAAAATAATATCACATTTGTTGTGTTGTAAGTGTGTTTGTCTCAACAAACTTGCCAGGGAAGATAGTTTGGAGGATGGAGTAGCAATCTGACCAGGGCACGATCCTTGCTTTGACTTGAGGAGTTGGAGTAGCCATGGTCTTCTTGATCAGGTCATCTAGTGGGTAGCCACGGCGAGGGAAGACAATTGCCTGGAAGTGAAAATTGAAGTTGAATAAATGGATTTTAAGTTAACTATAAACAAGCCTTTATTTTAAACAAATTTAGTATGTCTGACAGATGCTTAGAAAACTGTATGTCGGTTCTTTCAAGCGAGGTTCGAACCCCACAGTGTTGTTGAGGCCCTATTATTAAAATATGTTAAGTTTAGTGGACTGTATAATGTAGTAAAATGCCTAAGGCTACAAATAGTGCACCCGACAACAGGGTAGATGCCTAATTTTTATTTTAATGTCCGTCTGGTAGATTAATTTAAAACTTTAGACACGTATTTGTTCTTTTTAGGTTCTCCGCGACACTTTTAGAGGCTACTGCAGGTATTTGCCCGGCTAAGTAGTCAACAGCCTTAGCGTGCTGAATTACGATTGGTTCTATTAAGCCAGGCAGACACGATCGCAATATAAAACTTTGCGTATTAAGATGTCTAAAACTGTACTCACATTAGCCGGCAAGAAGGTAGCTGGACAGAAATCATTCCTCCCATCGCCGCAGTACACCATCCTGGCGTACGAGTGAGTGGCGCACCACTCGACCAGCGCGTGGGACTTGCACAGGTTGCTCGGACACCGTGGGCAACTCGACTGGCGCATACAAGGCTCTATGAAAAGGCGGTCTCCTTGCCAGAACGCCCGGTTTGTTATTATTTTTGTAATCTTGTTCTGTAACAGTAAAATATTTCTAATCAGTATTATATCATAAATATAAATATATTTAAATAAAATCATCGAATGACTGCTCCCGCCTGGGTGAGGCGGGAAGGAGTGTCAGACTCTTACTGACTAAAAACCACCCCGTTCCTTCTCCTGCACGTCGAGCCGGAGCCCCGGTTACCCGTTAGGTTCTCCACGACATATAATATTTATAATTGGGATAATGACAGGGTATGAAAATTAAAAATCTAATTAGTCCGTAAGTAAGGTAATGAAAAAATATTAGACACGTATTTTTTAATTTTGTCGTATAATAAAACAATACTTAGATAAAACGAATCAAAGTTTAGGAGAACGTAAAACGTCATTTCTACGTATAAAATGTACATAGAAGTGACGTCACGCGACATTTCAAATCAATATATCGTCGAAAGTATTCGTTTCTGTAAGAAAATAAAAAACACGTCTCTAATGTTTTAAAATAATCTACCAGACGTACTTACATTAAAATAAAAATTAGACATCTACCCTATTACTATTAGTTATAACATAACATATAACATAACATCACGCCTTTTTATCCCCGAAGGGATAGGTAGAGGTGCACATTATGCCATTGTACAATGTAACACCCACTTTTCACTATTTATGTTATGAGTCCCATGTAATAGGGGATGAGCCTATTGCCATATACCGGGCACAGTTCCAGACTCCGTGCTACTACTGAGACCTCTTGCCCGGCAGTCGCACTTGCGACCACTCGGCCAACGAGCAAGTCCGATGAACTATTATGTAGATGTATATACATCTACCAAAATATAAAAAGCCACCTATGAAAATGTAGGTGTAATTTTCAAACAAAATATCTAATCATGATTAGTACTGCCCGTCCTTGTTCGTGTATAGCGTGATGACGCGTGTATGTGACTACTAACTATCAAGGTTTCAATTACGAAATTACTTAACGCAATAAAAGTTTCAGGGTATTACATACTAGCACTTTCCTACGGGTGTACCTGCGTTTTTATATGCCATATGCCAAGCAATCGGTGCTGGCCATGGACACCTGGAACACCAGAGGAGTTTGTTGCTACAAGTGCAAGAAGTGCGTTACTGGCCTTTGTTTTTTTGAGACAAGCCCGCCACAACCTCCCAAAATCGCTGCAACTTCTGTAAGCGAGGATCTACAGTAGATACAACCATGAAAATACCGGAACACTGAAGTCCGGCGCGTCCCAGGGACATGAGTAACTGTCTTGGTTCCCGCAACGAAGTGAATCAGAAGATATTAATAAAAAAGAACAAAAAAACAATAGTTTCCACTTCCCTCGGTGAATTACTGCAGAAAACAGAATGAATTAAGCCTAAAGGTACAAAAGAGACGATTGTGAGAAGCCCAGTAGCACCACGGAAAATTTGATTAAAAACTTCATTAATTTAAATTAGTCCCATGGAGCTATTATACTTGCTTCCATAGAACATATAAAGAAGATCTTGCTTCCAATAATATGTATGGCAAAAACGCCTAAACGCACAAAAGTAGTCTTTAAACAATGTAAATAAGGACTAAGACGAGACTGGAATTTAATAATTGGAATTACTTCCCGTAATTGGGCCTCCGGTAACATCACTCACACGACGAAATACAACGCAAACGTTGCTTCACATCGGTTTTCTGCTTGGCCGTGGTATCACTCCAGTCGAGCCGGCCCATTGGTGCCGAAGCATGGCTCTCCCACACTAGTATCTCGCGAAAGTTACAATATAAAGACATTTAACGCCATTTTAGTTTCCATCAACCAATAAGTGAGAGCTGAAGACCTAAAGATACAGGTAAAGGAATAAGTGACACCTAAAGGTCCATGCAATTTGCTCCATCACTAGAGTGTTACTTAGAAGTAACTCTAAATTAAGAGATACCTTGTTTAGCTGTGGTAAGTAAAATCGGCGATTAACCCATGGCATGCCGGAACGACGTCTGTCGAAGAACCAATAACCGTTGGGGTAGAAGTGCTCTACAGTGGAGACCGCGTCTAGGCAAACGTAGTGTAGGGCGCCCTCCAGCTAGGTGGAGTGACGACATCCACAAGGTGGCTGGCAGTGGTTGGATGAGAAGAGCTGAAGACCGAGCTCAGTGGTGTGTCATTGGAGATACCTATAGTAGTGTAGCAGTGAACGAACACGGACTGATGATGATGATAATGCTGGTACGTAGATATACGCAAGACACACATGTGTTCACAATATGTCGGCCCAGAGGTTAATACCCCCGCTTCTCATGTAAACCTTAAGAGTGAGTGTTTGAAACCTACCAACGGCAAGTACCAATTTGACTTTTTCCGAGTTATATGTACTTTCTAGGATTATTTACTAACAAACGGTGAAAGAAAACATCGTGGGGAAACCTAGGCTTACTATTTCTAATCATAAGTTTGAAATCGCCAACCCGGAATGAGCAAGCAAGGTGATTAATACTCAAACCTTCTCCGTGTTTGACGATTTGCTCAGCAGTTGGCATTTATAGGCTGTTGATGATGAATGTGTTCTCATACGTTGGAAAATAAGAGTTTAATCTAGTACCATAATTTCATAATTGCCATTGCAATGCCATAATTTCAAAGGTGCCTTTTTAGTATCATCTAGATACATACATCACGACAGCATTGCGTCCCCATCATATAGATGATTGGCAGGCCACAACTGTGCGCTTTTCACGTTGCTTTCTGCTTCGCACAGCGACACTGTGGAATGATCTGTCGTCGGCGGTATTTCCGAACCGATACGACCTTCAAACCTTCAAGAAAAGAGCGTAGCTTTTTTTAAAAGGCCGATAACGCACCGGTGACTCCTCTGGTGTTGCGGGTGTTCATGGACGTGGCGCTGATCGCTTACCATCAGGTGGTCCATTTCCGCGCGCGCCTCAAAGAGCGATCAGACCACCACAGATGGGGCCCAATAGAGCTGTTGCCGATTCGGAGTCGCGGAGAACCTAACGGGTAACCGGGGCTCCGACTCGACGTGCAGAAGAAGGAATGGGGTGGTTTTTAGTCAGTAAGAGTCTGACGCTCCCTTCCGCCTCACCCAGGCGGGAGCAGTCACTCGATGATTATCCCCCCTTAAAAAAAATGCCCGTTTACCGCCATTTCCATAAAAAAATCACGTGAAACTCTACTTCAATGGTATATGTTTACTTTATGTTTGTGTTAATTGGGTGCAATTTAAAGTTATTGTTCTAAACACATTCGCATACAGATGTGAGATTTACCGGAATAGTCTAGTCACGAATGTTTGACCGGATTGAACTGGATTTTAGCCAGGAGATCAGCTGATGTTGTGACGCGATTTAACTCTATTGCACTTCCGAAAGTTTCTTTTAGAATGGATATTAACAATACCTTTACAAATACAAATTGCAATGGGGTCCTCACATTACATCATTAGCGGGACGATTGAGCTCTGCAGCTTATGCTGTCTGGAAGATACGGCTGTCTTTAAGGGTATTTTCTTTTTCAATCACTTTGACTGGATTTTGGTGTTATATTGTTCTCGCACAATCCAAACAGCAAACTATGTAACTAGAGAATTGTATTGTGAACCTGATTGAAAAAGAGTAACCTATGGAGTTTCTTGCTCGTTCTTCTCCATAGGAATCTACACCTTGGAATGAGCAAATAGCTTCACTTTTAATTTTCTTTTTGTTGACGTTCAAAAGTGCCATTCTGGCCTAATTGAAATAAATGATTTTGACTTTGACTTTTCCGATGGTGGTCAAAGGTGCACCAATTGAAATAAAATATATGTACACTAACTTTTTGTGTTAACAATAATATTCGCCGTGTGAATGAGGTTACAGGTGGCTTAAACACTTTTTATTAAAAAAAAAGGTTGTATAGTTTTGACATTGAATAATTATTGAGATTTTATTGGATTGAAATTGCATTGATATTGAAAGAAAGAAAGAAGAAAGAAAAATCATTTATTTGGCAAAGACACGCACAGAAAACAAAGAATATAAAAAAAATAAAAATACATATATGTAAACAAAATACTAAAAATAAACTTACAAGAATAAAGATCAAAACAGACAATATATCAAAACATCACAATATAACAAAATAATAATACGATAATAACAGAATTTTGAATAGACAATAAAATAAAAAAAATAAAAAATCTAATAAACAAAATAATAATATTAATTTTAATTTGCGCGTGCTAATGCCAAAAGGGCCTCCACCTCAGCATATAGTTGGACGTTTGTGCCCAACGCTGGTTTTCAGGTGGCACCCTGCAGTGACTCACGGACGGCGGTGCCGCCCCTCAATGAAGACAGAAAATAAACATGAAATTGTATAAATAATATAAATTTAGCTGAATATGTGTGTGTGTGTGTGTGTGTAAAAAATTGAGAATAGAGTAATATATATATCCGATAGTACATGTATATACATACAAACAAAATGTAAAAATGCAATTATAAGAGTTAGTCACTTTTGACGTTTACTCTTTTTTTTTTAATTAATTGGGTGTTATTTCACATTTTTGATTGTCAAACAAAGACAGTTTTAGTGACAACTCTGCTGAGCTCTGATTCATTCCGACGCGTACCCACAAAGAAACAGCCGCCGGCCACAGGACACCAAACTCCAGCATAGTTTACGAGTGGCGAAATGATCACAATTAAAACACTCAACTTAATTACGAGAATTAAAATAATGGCGAGGTACATTATAACAATGCTCACACGTTGAGCACCCAACCAACACGCAAAGACTTCCAAGTTGGCATATAAAAGTAAGTGTAATTTGAATAAATTGGAACAATAAACTGAAATTAGATAAAGGAATTGTCAATATTAATGTCGTTAAATTTAATTTGGGATGTCAAAATAAAAGTTTTTAATTTTAACCTAAACGTGTTTTTATTTTTCAGATTTCTAATTGTTTTCAAGAGTAGGCAACCAGGTGATCCGTCTGCTCGTTTGCCGACCTATACCTTAAAAAAACGCAGGCTTTTTTTAGGGGGGGTAAATCATCGAATCACTATCGCGAGAGGGAGTGTCAGACTCTTACACGGCTACTCTCTTCTTTGGTAGCTTTTCCAAGAGGAAATATCATCCAATGACTGCTCCCGCCTGGGTGCGGCGAAAAGGAGTGTCAGACTCTTACTGACTAAATACCACCCCGTTCCTACTCCTGCACTTCGAGCCGGAGCCCCGGTAACCCGTTAAGTCTAAATCGACCCTCACGACAGCATATCCATCCCTACCATATAGATGGTTGGCAGGCCACAACTGTGCGCTTCTCACGCAGCTTTCTGCCTCGCACAGCAAAACTGTGGAATGATCTGTCGTCGGCTGTATTTCCGAACTGATACGACCTTCAAACCTTCAAAAAAAGAGCGTATTCCTTTTTAAAAGGCCAGCAACGCCCCCTCCTGTGACTCCTCTGTTGTTGCGGGTGTCCATGGGCGGCGCTGATCGCTTACCATCAGGTGATCCGTCTGCTCGTTTGCCTCCTATTCCATTAAAAAGTCTTCCGCGGCTCCTTCATTGCTAGCTAAAGCTAAAGCTAGTATGAACCAGTATGAACTCACCAGCAGACCATGGACTTTGAGCCAATGTTGTACAAAGACGGTGTTAGCATCTGTGATCAGCACTATGTCCCATCCTTCAGCCGCTAGAGAGGTGATGAGCTTCTCAACTCCTGGAGTCGGCCGCATAGACGCTATGCTGTCAAGGATGTCTTCCTGACTTAGTCCTGCTGAGTATGCGTGCTCGAATACCTGATGAGGGAAAGAGACGAGTAATTAGGTAGGTAGGTATATTCCCGGGTTCGATTTCCGGGTCAGGCAAATTATAACCGGGTTTTAAAAAAACTTTAGTAGTTGCACAGAAGCTGGAATTATGCCCGGTATATTATGGCAATAGGCTTGCCCCCTATTACATGGGACTCATAACATAAATAGTAAAAAATGGGTGTGGGTGCCATGGCACTTAGTGCCACTGTATAATGGCACTAATATATGTGCACCTCTGCATACCCCTTCCGGGGTAAAAGGCGTGATGTTATGATATGTTGCTTATTTGTTTTAGGTAAAACTTCTTATCTGTCGTCGCCCTGATCATCACGCTTACATCAATAGGCGGCGAGCAGCGGGTGAAACCGCGCAAGAGGAGATAGTGTGGTATAATACCACACTACTGGTATAATAATATGTATTATGATTAGAAGTTTGTTTGTTCGTGCTTTTTATTGCAAAACTAGGGAGAAAAAGGGAGTGTGTGTTTTGCCCCGATATAATTAAAATCAGTGGGGAAAATACAATACACTTCTGTCTGCCTACAATACACCTCTTAATGGACGCAAAAGTGATAAGTATCTACTTATTCTTAGAAATTCTACTTATTGTTGTAATAAGGTAAATATTATAATCTTAAGTTAAATAATATAAGTAGCGCCATCTAGTGTTAAGTTGGCAAGTTTCTCATAGACGTCGATATATTATCTGTGTTCTGCCCTTTTGTCGTCTGCATGGCGCCCATCATGTGCTTTCTGTGAGATTTTTAATAAAACTACGAAATATAACAAGCTATTATCTATTATTCAACCACATCCACCACTTCAACATGGTAGCAGAGCGTGGTTAAGTGGTTTCACGAAAAAGTCAATAAATATGAAGTGCAATTATGAAATCAAATTACGATTGAGGTTATCCGGTCACAACGGAAAAGTTAGTTTTGAAAACGTCTGAATCTACAAGAATATACGTAAATATGGCACAACAAGCTAAAATAGAAGACATCATGATACCTATTTTTGATGGGGCAAACTATTCGAGTTGGAAATTAAGGTTGGTTACTTTGTTGGAATACAAAGAATGCAACGAGGCCGCCATAGGCATAATGCCGGTGAAATATAAAAATACAGAAGCGGAATGGAAGAAGATGGATTTAAAGGCAAGGACTATTATTATGAGTACTATTTCGGACAAACAATTAGAATATATCACTGAGTGCAAGACAGCTTTTGACATGTTACAAAAGTTCGACAAAATGTATCTTACTCAATCAACATCTCTTCAAATTATATGTCGAGGAAAAGTGGAAGCGATCAAATTAAATAATTACGACACAGTAGAGGATTTCTTCGTTGATTTTGAAAAATCCATAAACGAATTCAAAACAGCCGGAGGTAAAATTGATGAACCTGAAAAGTTAAGATACCTGCTCAGAGCCCTACCACCAAGTTATAGTTATATAGGAGATTTTCTGGACGTGATTCCTGAAGAACAAAGGACTGTGGACTATGTACATTCAAAAATAAAGGAGAAAAATATGACTATGTGCGATGACAAGAAAAATAATGTGAGTACATATACAACCAGCACCACAAGAGCTCAATGTTTTGTCTGTGGTAAGACTGGTCATCTCAAGAAGGATTGTTGGCACGCTCAGAGAAATAATCAAGGACAAAAAAGTTCTCAAGGAAGTTTCCAGTCGTCTAGTCGGGGTCAGCGAGGACATCAGAGAGGATCCTACAGAGGTCGCAGCCGAGGCAGAGGTCAAGGCCACTCATCTAGCAATCATCCTAAAGGTGAATCTTCGAGCAACGGTCCCTCCCAGTCATGGACAGCTGAAGTATGTAAACCAGAAGTAAACCAGGTATCCGGATGTAATGAAAAGGTAACATTTAATAATAATAGTAATGTAGTTAATTGGCTTTTAGATAGTGGGTGCACTGACCATCTTATAAATGATTATTCATATTTTTATGACAGTGTAGATTTGAAAGATTTTGTTGATGTAAAATTACCAGATGGAAAAACCTTGAAAGCAACCAAAGTAGGTACTGTAAAAATGTATTTCAAAAACTATTATAGTGTGAAGTATGTAGATTTAGAAAATGTCTATTATGTCGAAGGAATAAAACAAAATTTATTAAGTTTTTCAAAGGTAACTAATAGTTGTACAATAGTAGCTAAAAATGAAAGTGCTAAAATATATAATGAGTCTAGAGAGTTGATAGTTGTTGCTGATAAAATTAATAATTTGTATTGCTTAAAAGGTTATGTCTTAAAAAATGAAGTATGCACAAATTCTGTAAAGTTAACGCAGAAAGAAAAATGGCATAGGGCACTTGGTCATGTGAATTTTCAATACTTAAATAAGATAATAAATAATAAATTAGTTGATGGTTTGCCAGATAAAATTGAAAGCACAGAAATGAAATGTTCAAATTGTATTCAGAGTAAAATGACTAATGTACCTTTTGAAAATAATAGAACAAAAACTACTGAGATTTTAGAACTTATTCATACTGATTTGAATGGGCCACATAACACAACTGGTTATGGTGGAGAAAAATATTTTTTAACCTTTATTGATGATTATAGTAAGTGTACCAGGATATTTTGTATTAAAAGTAAAGCTGAAACTGCTAAGTGTTTTATAGAGTTTATAAATTTAGTAGAAAATAAATTTAATAAAAGAGCCAAGAAGATTCAGTGTGACAATGGTAGAGAGTATTTAAATAAGGATATTTATAATTTTATAAGGTATAAGGGCATAGAGTTGTTACCATGTCCACCTTATGTTCATGAGTTAAACGGAGTAGCGGAGAGGTATAATAGGTCTGCTATGGATATAGGTAGATGTTTAATGAGAGAAGCTAAAATACATAGGAGGTACTGGCCTGAAGTAATAAAAACAGCAGCTTATTTAACTCGTCGAGTACCGGTTTTATAGACACAATTAAAGAACAATAGGTCGCGGTCACCGGTGACCGCTTGGTGTTTGACAGTTTAAAGAATCGTACTATTGCAAATACAGTTGAAAATAAAACTCCTTATGAGATATTTTTTGGGGCCAAACCAAATGTAGAGCATTTAAAAATTTATGGAAGTAGAGTCTATGTTAGAGTTCCTGAAGTGTTAAGAAAAAGTAAATGGGATGATAAAGCTCAACTAGGAATTTTAGTGGGTTATAATGAAAATAGTTACAGAGTTTTGTTAAATAACAGAATAATTAATGCAAGGCATGTACAGGTAATTGAAGAAAATACTCAGTTAATTTGTTTGGAAAAAGTAGACAATCAAAATAATAAAGATTTGGAAAGTGATAATACTTTAAATGTTTCAAATGAAGAGGTTAAAAATGAATATGAAACCGATGAAAACTTTGTAGATGCAGATGAGACTTATTCTAGTAGTAACGTAAATAATAATAGAGAAAATGACGTTTTAGTAGAATCACAGAAAAGAAAGAGAATCCCAGTTTCTAGATATGGTAATCCAGTTACACACTTTATTTATGTTAACCATATTGATGCAAATGTACCAAATTCATTCGAGGAGGCGATGAACTCCAATGATAGTAAGCAATGGCAAATAGCCATGGATTCTGAAATAAATAGTTTAAATAAAAATAATACTTGGCAAATTGTAGAAAAACCAAAAGATAAAAAGGTAATTGATGTTAAATGGGTTTTTAAAAAGAAAAGTAATAATGAATATAAAGCTAGATTGGTTGTGAGAGGGTTTCAGCAAAAAGATTTTAATGAAAATGCTTACTCACCTGTTGGAAAAATGCAAACTTTGAAAATTTTATTGTCATACAGTTGTAAAAATAAATTATTTGTAGAGCAAATGGATGTTGAAACAGCCTTTTTAAATGGTTATGTAAAGTCAGAAGTTTATGTAAATCAACCAGAAGGTTATAAAACAGGAGATAATAAGTTTACAAATTGCAAAAAGCTCTCTATGGTCTCAAAGAAAGTCCTAGAGTGTGGTATGATTGTTTTGATATATTTATAAAAACTTTGAATTTTGTTAGAAGTAGTTATGATTACTGTTTGTATGTTAAAAAAGCAAGCAAAGATCCAATATACATATTAATATTTGTTGATGATCTTTTAATATGTTGTAAAGATAAAAATAAAATAAAAGAGGTGAAAACAAGTTTAATGAAACGATTTGCAATGAAAGACTTGGGGAAAATTAAAAGCTATATTGGCATAGATATTGAGTATAATGATGATAAAAATGTGATGACATTAAGTCAAACAAAGTAGTATATTGAATCTTTGGCTGCAAAGTATAATTTGGTAAATACTAAGTTATATGATACTCCTATGGAAACAAATTTAAAATTAGAGCAAGCTAGTGAGGTCGATGAAAGTATTAAGTACAGAAATATAATAGGTGAATTATTGTATATTAGTACAGGCACAAGACCAGATGTAGCGTACAGCGTTAATTATTTGAGTAGATATCAAAGTTGTTATAACCGAACACATTACAAATATGCAATGAGGGTGTTAAAATATTTGTATAAAACTAAGAATCTAAAGTTAACATATATGATAATGCAGATGCTGATATTTTAGACTGTATGGTTGATTCAGACTATGCAGGGGATAATGTGGATAGGAAGTCTACAACAGGTTTTATTATAAGATTTTTTGGAAATTTAATATTTTGGGAAAACACGTAAACAAAATACAGTACTAAATGTTCAACTTTTGCAGAGTATATTGCATTGTCAGAGGCAGTAACTGAAGTACTTTTTATAAGAAATTTGTTAAGTGAGTCATTTAATATAAACTTTAGTTATCCAATAAAATTGTATGAAGATAACTCAGGTGCAATTGCAATAGCTAAGTATGGTAACTTTACTAAAAATTCAAAGCACATTGAAGTGCAATATCATTATATAAACGAGA